CACCCTGCCCGCCTCCCTCTCCACCACCGTCCCCACCACCCTCTCCACCACCCTCCCCACCACCCTCGCCTCCTCCACGGCCGCCTTCTCCACCTCCATCACCGCCCTTGCCTCCTCCACGACCGCCTCCCCTTCCACCACCGCCCTCGCCTCCCCCACCTCCACCAGCTCCTCCTGTTGTCAACGCTTCTTGCAGCACGGATGCGAACTGCAGTCTCGCGGGTGCAGTGTGCAACACGGCCCTCGCCTCACCAAGATGCGAGTGCCCTACTGGTGAGTTGCATTTTTCCTTGCTGTTGTTGAGGTGATTGAATGGTTGTCACAGCCCTGGTCTCAGCCTTGGCCTCTCTCCTGTGCAGGCTTCACATTTTGCGGTGGGGTCTGCATCGATACATTGTACCAGTGCTGTACAAATCCAACAGCTGGCGTTACTTGCCCTGGTAGCACAATTGTATCGGGAACCACCTATCCCGCACAAAGTTGCGGTTCCAACAACTACTGTGGATGCCCCGCTGGTGAGATTCATTTGTTCCTCCTCTCACCGCTCTGTATGCATCTCACCGATGAAAGCGACCTTGCAAGTGTTTGTGCAGGATTCGACCTGTGCGGTTTCAGCCCGGGCATTTGCATCAACAGAACCAGCCAGTGTTGTACTACGGACACCAGCCAGGGGTTGAACTGCGGTGGCCAGTTCTGTTCCCGCGATGGTGGAAGCTGTGTCAACATCTGCTCATGTAAGCCGCCGCCCCCGGTCGTGCGCATGCATGCTTGCTCGGATTGCCCTATCCTGAGCACGTGCATCTCCATCTCTGACGACGTGCAGCGTTAGGATCGAACATGACATCCTGCGGCTCGGCGTGCTACAACAGCTCCATCGCCACCTCATGCTGCATTGCCGCAACCGGCACGGTCGGCACAGTGAGCAACGGAATGTGCATTGGTGACGACATCTGCACGAGGGTGTTCAATGTGACAACCACAGTTACCGCATCCGTAGTCGGTAAGCCCCGTGCTGGTATGCCACCGTCTTGATGGACAGCCTGCCTTGCGGGGCCACCATGTCTGCTGAGCAAAGCGGAGCAAACCCTGATGACCAGCCTGACATTATTCATTGCGACATGTATTGAGCTGCTGTGGAATCGTGCAGGGAAGCGCTGCCCGGCTAATCCCAGGAAATGCTCAGAGTGTTGCATTGCTTCGGACTGCATGGACTTCGGATCAAGCGAAGGAGGACCAGTGTAAGTGGCGCATTCACTTGGCATGCCAGCTGTGCAGTTGGGTGTCCGGAAACTCAAACCCCTCGTCTTTGTTCTGCAGTTGCACCAATGGGGTATGTTCCTATGCCGGTTGTACAACCCAGTTTTGTTTCCAAGGAGACACCAAGAACGTTTACAAACGAGGAACGCAAAAAGGATGTTCGGTAAGTGTGGGTGCGGACTTGTGTGCGGGAGTGGCGGAGTGTTGTATCCCGTTCTTTGTGTATTAATTGTGTCAGGTGGCCGCTGACTTATGGCATCTTGTCCTCCCCTGCAGTCTTGCAACGCAAATACAGCTTCACGCTGCCCCAACGGGTACTGTTGCACAAATGGTCCGAGTGGCTGCAGCACGGACCCCGGGGATTGCAACAATGCTATCTGCTACGCGCCCTGGCCAACGTGCACTGGAAGCAGCTTGAAACAGCTAAACGGCCGGCAATGCTTCGGAAATGACGCGGCGCCTTCCCCCATCGCCTACGGTCGAGTGGATCCTTTCTTCAATCAAACCTTGCTAACGTTCAACTACGCCCAAGTCTACCTAAACAACAACTTCTTCACCTGCCCCTGGAACGGCTCCTATCCTTGGTAGCTGTCAAGTGCCGCTTCCAGCCCGTCTCATGCTTTTCTTTCTATCGTCTTCCTTCTTTTTGTTTCATTCCTTTGTACTGTTTTTTTTCACCTTCTGCAATCTACCGGCCATTGTCAAGCATTTGCCACTTCACACTCTACTAGTAGGTCTACTGTAACGTCCCCCCCATCAGGCACTCGCTGTGGCACTGGCACTGGCGCTGCCCCAGCTCATGGCCAACACCAGCTAGCTCAAGCTCTGGAACCAAAAAATAAATAAATAAAAAATCCCCCAGCTGGAAGCAGCGCCAGGGCTGATCCAAAAACATCAGGCGAGGCCGTGACCCATGCGCTCCGCACGCCCACCGCGCTTCGAGGCGCAGGCGGGGTAACATCCGAGCGAGGCCCCCAAAAGTCTTCAGCCTGACTAAAAAAGCACCGTTCAATTATCTTGTTCATTCGTTCATCTTCCCTGCGACTTTTCCCTTCTCCTCTATGCAGATGCGTCTGCTGCCGCCCAGATGGCAGCAGGCGCCATGCTGGCGCCGCCCGCCCTGGTATTCTCGTCGATCATCAGATATGATATTATCCCAAGTAGTATCACGATCGGCGCCCAGGAAGGAAGAAATTCTTGATCCCAAGGGAGAAGACACTTCCGTCTGCCGATCGCTGACGGCCAGGCGTCTCTCATCTTAGCGGCCTTGATCCTCCACACTGCATCATCATCAGCGAGTCCATTTGGAAGCCTCCCGCGACACCGCAAGAAGGGCCGGGGCATAAGTGCTGGGGCTAGCCCGTTCTGCAAGACAGCCCTACGTCAGTGTTCTAAGTAGAGGTGGCGCCGCGGCCTTCTTCATCCGCTTCTCCCGCCACTGCCGCCGCCGCTGCTCGCCTCCGTCGCAGTCGGCTCGCAGTCGGCGATGGGCAACCTGACTGCTACTGCCCCTCGCAGGCCTTAGGGTCGTGCCAATGGGCAAGAACCGGGAGTGCGCGGAGAGCTGCATAGACTATCTGGCCCTGGCGCTGGTCCACCACTACCGCACGCAAGGGCAGGGCCCGTCGCTGCAGGTGACGAGGCACCTTTTGAAGTGGGCCCGCCCCCCGGACCATTCTCTTCCCCTCTGCATCTGCCACCCTGCAAACAACCTCCGGCTCCCAGCCACCATCACGGCCCTGCCCCCACTGCACCCTGCCTGGTCTATCCACCCGCCCGCCTGCCCGCCCACCGCAGGCGGCGCTGGATGCGGTGGGCGAGCGCACTGGGCGGCAGCTGGCGGAGCGGTATGCGCGCGACCGCCCGCCGCTGCTGGACCAGCTGGAGGCGGTGAAGTTTGTGTGCAAGGAGTTCTGGGGGGAGGTGTTCCGCAAGGCGGTGGACAACCTGCGCACCAACCACAGGTGCAGGCGGGGCGGGCGGAGCGGGTGGTGGAGTCAGCGGAATCGGTGGCGGCCCTTCAGCGTAGCAGGGCGTGGGCCGCGTGTGGGGCTGCTCGGCCACCCAGCGCCGCTGAGCTCTGCGCCGATGCTCACGCGTGGCGCGCCACTTCTCATTCCTCCACACCCCCTCCTGCAGGGGCACCTTTGTGCTGCGCGACACGCAGTTCCGCTGGCTGGTGCGGCTGGCCCAGAACCAGATGCCGGCGCAGGTGGGGCAGCCGCTGCCGGCGCCGCTGTCCAAGGCCGACCTGGCAGCCGACTTCCTGGTGCTGCCCTGCGCGCTGGTGAGGGGCGCGCTGGCGCAGCTGGGCTGGGACGTCGCCGTCACCGCCGACGCCACCAGCCTGCCCCAAGTCGACTTCACGCTGGTCATCCGCCAGCAGCCGCAGCGGTGACGGCGGCGGCGCGGGGCGGCACAGGGTGGGTGGTGGCAGGCCACGGCATGCTCTCCCGCGGGCTGTGCCTGTGCTGCCTTTTTGTTCCCGTCCTTCCCTGCCCTGCTCAATGGGAGCCCCCTGCTTGCTTATGCTCACTCTTTCTGCTGCTGCTGTTCCTGCCCCGCTGCTCGCTTCAATCCACTGTTCACCCTCTGCTCATGCCGTGCACTCTTTCGGGTCATGCGATGCAAGTAGTTACAACAAATGGATGGTGACGATGGCTTAACGCTGTGGAATCAAATTTAAATTTCGCCTGCTGTGGCGTTACGCGCCGGAGCGCAAAGTCAAATCAAGGGCGTGACCGTGCCTGCTGCCCTCCCAGCAGCAATGCCGACGCTGGCAAGTGCAGCTGTGTGAACGGAGCATGCCCTGCTGTCGCTGCATGCCGAGAGGGGCCAGGCCACGACTGATTGCGCTGCTGAGGGGCCAATGCAGCTCCGGATCATGGATAGGGTTAGGGTTGTTTCCTGATGCTGACGCTGCGCGGCGCAGGCATGCAGCGCAATGCGCGCCCAGCCGGCCCGCAGCGCTGCCGGGGCGCGGTCCATCAGAAGTCCATCCCGCCGCCCATGCCGCCCATGCCGGGCGCCGCGGGGGCCTCGTTCTTGGGGGCCTCTGTGATGATGCACTCGGCGGTGGTCAGCAGGCTGGCCACGCTGGCGGAGTCCAGCAGCGCTGTCCGCACAACCTGCGGCAGGGCATGGACAGCGTGTGTCGGGGGCGAGGAGGGGTCCGGAGTGCAAGGCAGGGTGAGCAGCGATGCGAGGGGGGGATGAGGAGGTGCCAGAGACTGTGCGAGGGAGGGGCAGGGCTGGCCATTTTGATGCACCCTACTGCTGCCGCCGTGAGACTGGCCCAGGCCACACCCCCCTCACATGCCACCCCCCTACATGCCAGGCCAGGCCTCCACATGCCCCCACCCCACACCCACCTTCATGGGGTCGATCACCCCCGCCCGCACCATGTCCTCAAACCTCCCCGCCGCCGCGTTGAACCCCACATTCTCGTCCCCCTCCCGCTCCAGCAGCTTGCCCACAATCACGTCGCCCTCCAGCCCCGCGTTGTTGGCAATGGTCTTGGCGGGGCGGCGGATGGCGCGCTGGATGATCTCCACGCCCACCTGCGGGGCAACGCGGCACCGGGGGTGGGCGGCAGCAGTGACGCGGAGCGGCCACGTGCGAGGCGCCGGGCAGAGAGATGCGGGGCCGGGCGTGGCGGCGCCAAACCCTGGCTGGCAAGCGCAGCGGGCCCGGCGGCGGCGCAGCAGGCACCCTGTACCGCGGGCGCCCCGCCGCCGCACCTTCTGGTCAAAGTTCTCGCACTTGTCCTTGACCGCCTCCAGCGTGCGCGAGGCGTAGACCAGCGCGGTGCCGCCCCCCGGCACGATGCCCTCCTCCACCGCCGCCTTGGTGGCGTTGAGCGCGTCGGTGATGCGGTCCTTCTTCTCGCTCACCTCCACCTCGCTGGCGCCACCCACCTGGCAGGACGGCGGGGGGGGCGGGGGGGCACACACAAAGGTGGAGCGACGGCTGTGGCAGGCGCGGCGGCGCTGGCATCGACACAAACTGGACGGAGCGCCAGCTGCAGCGCGGCAACCCGGAGCCAGATGATCGCTGCTGCCGGGCCAGGCCCGCCGCATCTCAACGGCACATTGCGGGCAGCCATGCGGTGCTGGCATGGCCGGGTGTCGCCCCGCCGTCCCTCCCCACCCGCTGCCTCCCCGCCAATGCCGGTGGCCCACCTTGAGCACCGCCACGCCGCCGCTCAGCTTGGCCAGCCGCTCCTGCAGCTTCTCGCGGTCGTAGTCGCTGGTGCTGCTCTCCATGGCCTGCCGGATCATGTCGCACCGCTCGGCGATGGACGCCTTGGAGCCGCCGCCGTTGAGCACCACGGTGTCGTCCTTGCTGCGCGGGGAGGCCAGGGCATGCGCATGTGCGTGTGTGTGTGCAGGTGCGTGTGTGTGTTGTGTGTGTGTGTGTGTGTGTGTGCGCGCGCGCGCGGGTGTGTGGGCAGGAGGGGCCCAGGGAGCGCGCAACCGATGCGGAGGTGGGGGCATTTCCTGGCACGGCGGGCTGGTTGCCCGAGGGCCTCGGCGGCGGCTGCGGCGGCGGCGGTGGCGGCGTGCGGCGCCTCACCTGATGGTCACTTTCTTGGCCTGCCCCAGCATGGTGGCATCCACCTTCTCCAGCTTGAACCCAAGGTCCTCGCTCACCACCTGCGGGAAGGGCAGGGGTGGCGGGGCAGGGCAGGGTGGGCACAGCGGGCAGCGCAGGGCGTGGCTGGGAGAGCAGGGGCGGCGCCATGCCGTGGCGCCTTCTCCGCACCGATCTTGCAGCCCGGCTGGCTGACACTGGCTGACACCGTGGGGCCCTCATCCCAGTCAGCCTGCGCCTCTCCTCTCCACCCCCCTGCCTGCTGGCCCCAGCCCCGCAACCTGCGGGCGCGCCCCCTCCCCCAGCCCTCACCGTGCCGCCCG